ATATATATATATATAAAATCATACTATTTTTTCATTATTTTTCTGGTTTTTCTCTCAATTTATTGCCGTTTATGAATCACTATATATATGATCATAGTTTTTCTTCATTATTTTTCTGGTTTTCCCACTCGTTTACATGTGAAATCTCAGATAAACCCCAATCCAAATGTCTATTGTCGACTACTTAAATCGTTGACTTGATACTTATCGTACAAAATCAGAATATTCCCCGTAATTCTAGACGTATATCCTTCGAATACTGGAATCTAAATACTCCTTGGATACATATATATATACGAGCTCCTATAATGTGAAAGTTGTGTTTTTGGTGTGCAAAAATGGGTGTGTCAAAAATGGAGTCTTTCGGGCGTTGCATCGTTCTTGTTCTGGGTTTAATTCTCAACGAGTCACTTTCATGCCATGGTGGAGTTACCAGTAGTTTTATTAGGAAAGTTGAGAAGACAATCGATATGCCTCTTGATAGTGATGTCTTCCGTGCCCCTCCTGGTTATAATGCGCCTCAACAGGTATGTTTAAAGTGACGGTCGTTTTCTATTTTCGATATGTTTTTTTTTTTCAGTTAGAGATTTTAACGAACACCTTTGCTGCATTATAGAGCTTTTAACGAACATCTTTGATGCATTATAGAGCTTGCTATGAACTGTTGATTTTTTTTTTTAATGGATATCTTGATGCACTTTTCACTTTTGATATTCTGTTTAATTTAATGGGATTCCCTGTTCCCTTTTTACTTTATGATTTTGTTAATGGGCGAGACGGGTCAAAAGAAAAGTACAGTAGAAAAGTAGATATCTTTGCCAGAAAAATATCAACAATTTAAATTGATAGGTCTCAACCTTAAAGTTCTTAGCAATGAACTCATTGTACTCTTGAAATTGAAATTATTCAAAATTGAATATTTTTTAAAATTTGTGGTTTTTCACATAAAAATAAGGGATCTTTACACAAATAGCTGTTTTTTTTGTAGCCATATATAGATTATACATTAATTATACATAATTATACACGTATAATACATAAATTATGCATATATTATACCTTCACCGGCTATTTTTAGTTCAAGCGATTGAGTGTGCTGCTATTTAGGTTAATTCTTCTAAAAATAAGTGTAGGAAATACTGAGTTCAGTTTAACCCGTTGGACAAATGATGCATCCTCCTCTGCTCTCGGATAGTGTATAAGTTTTATCAGGTGTATCAAGTTCTGTTTATGCTTGTCTCATTCATGGAATTTGGTTTATTTGCTAATTGATTCTGTTTGGGGTTTCTGTATAAGGTTCACATAACACAAGGCGATCACGAGGGAAAGGCCGTAATTGTTTCATGGGTGACTATGGATGGACCTGGTTCAAGTACAGTCTTATATTGGAGTGAGAAAAGCAAGCAAAAGAATAAGGCCAAGGGAAAGGTTACCACCTACAAATTTTATAACTACACTTCTGGTTACATCCATCACTCCACTATTAGGCATTTGGAGGTGAACATTCATTCATCCCTTCCTTTTTATTATTTCTGGGGATAATTTTGGCTCCTTGCTCATTGTTATTCATGGTAAACTATTTAACCCTCTGAGATTATGTTGAAACTTACAATGGATGTAATATTTCTTTTGCAGTTCAACACCAAATACTATTATAAGATTGGGATTGGGCACACGGCACGAACCTTCTGGTTTGTAACTCCTCCACCTGTTGGCCCTGATGTACCCTATACATTTGGTCTTATAGGTAACAATTTCAGCCAAATTATTGCTGTTGGAACTTCCTGGAGCTTGCTTAGGTTATATTACCACTGCTTTTGAGGTTTCATTCATACTGTGCTTTCTCATAGAGTACTATAATAAAGAGGGAATAGAGAATCATGTTGATATACTATTTACAATATGATCTAGAACCCTGCATCTAAGGTTGAGAGATAACATACTCTCTAGTTAATTGTGTGAAACAGCATATTTCTGAAAGGGAGGAGTGTTATTATCTGCATGTAATAAACGTTTTTACATGGATGTCATACATACAATATGCTTCTCCTTAAGGGAAAATCTTGAACGCGGTACAATGCAAACTTCTTTGCATACTTACTAAGGAAAACGAAAATAATAGATAAAAAGCATTGATGTTGTAGTTAGCAGTTGTGTGGCGTTTCTCAGTCGACCTGCATTATATTACAGGGGATCTTGGTCAGAGTTTCGACTCAAACAAGACACTCACACATTATGAATTAAATCCAATCAAGGGGCAAGCGGTGTTGTTTGTAGGCGACCTATCTTATGCTGATAACTATCCTAATCATGATAATGTAAGATGGGATACATGGGGAAGGTTCGTAGAGAGAAGTACTGCTTATCAACCTTGGATTTGGACTGCAGGAAATCATGAGATAGATTTTGCTCCTGAAATTGTAAGTGATACTGAACTAGTTCTCTTCCTGCTTAAATTGACTTCTAGTGTATTTCGTGGATGCTTTAAGCTAATATTTTCAGCCAGATAAATTTATACTGACGGCAAACTGCAAAATATTAGCTCCTTCTGGACTTTCATCCGATTAACCAGAGACTGTGTGTTAACACACTCTTGTTTAAGTGGATGAACCGAAAGAATACTTAGTTGAACATTCTTCACAATAATTAGTCTATCTTAGCCAGAGATTCAGCTCTACTGCTAGTTTGAGTACATTGAGTTTGTTGAACCTGGCATCTCCGTGCGTTCAACCAAAAAAAAAAAAAAAAAAAGAGAAAAGACATTTGCCCAGCTTTGCAGAATAAGAGGCATGAGATTCATCTTGCATGCTAAACAATCAAAATATTCAGAGTGACTAATGATGAGCAAGCATCCATGCTTTAGAGCGAACTGATATGGTTATATAGTTAATTAATTGAGCTCCACAGTAAAAAAGACTATTTGTGCTTTTCCATATTTCTAATGTTATACTTTTTAATGTCCTAGATATTAGATAGTTTTGTACTGGAATTTTATGTCCTAGATATTAGATAGTTTTGTACTGGAATTTTGATGAATACATCCTGATACTGCATGCAGGGGGAAACAAAACCTTTCAAGCCCTACACTCATCGGTATCATGTCCCCTATAGAGCATCAAACAGTACATCTCCCTTGTGGTATTCAATCAAGCGAGCTTCAGCATATATCATCGTTTTATCCTCATATTCAGCATATGGTAAGGATATGGCATTCTTGTGAGTAATACGAGATTCAGTTATGCACTGGTGTTCGCTCTTTCTTTCTCTCTCCTTTAGCGTGGACATAGAGGTATTGGACCAGAAAACATGATCTACAGTCTGTTACTTTTCCAGTTCTTGAAGAATGTCCTCTTCTAACATGCATCTTAAGAGTAGCATTAGTATATTATGAAATTCCAGTCGAAGAGTCATAATGGCATTTTGTTGATGTCTAACTTGTGGTCACATCCACCATGCTTCCCAATAGTACGCGAGTGCATTTTCTTGGTCTCTGATAAAGATTATCAGGCGAGGCAATTACTTTGAAAGTTCAAGACCATTGATTATCTATTTTCTCTAAGTTCCTTTTCTCTTTCCAATTATTAGGTAAATACACTCCTCAATACAAATGGCTTGAGGAAGAGCTACCAAAAGTTAACAGGACCGAGACTCCATGGCTCATTGTTCTAGTACATTCTCCATGGTATAACAGCTACAACTATCACTACATGGAAGGGGAAACCATGAGAGTGATGTATGAACCATGGTTTGTAAAGTACAAAGTGGATATTGTTTTTGCAGGTCATGTTCATGCTTATGAGCGAACGGTATGCACAAATCACACAGTTCTTTTTTCTTTTCATTTGATCTTTAAACATCTCACCGAGTTCGATGTAGCTACACAGTTCTTTTTTCTTTTCATTTGATCTTTAAACATCTCACCGAGTTCGATGTAGCTACAGTGAGAATCGTAGTGGCAATTCTTATATAAAGATCTAATTTTCTGTTGTATTTCAGGAACGGATATCTAATGTGGCCTACAACGTTGTCAATGGAGAATGCACTCCTATTCGTGATCAGTCTGCCCCAATTTATGTAACTATCGGAGATGGAGGAAATTTGGAAGGCCTCGCCACCAAGTAAGATTAATCAAATTCTAGAAATTTGTCGTATATATTGTATCTGTGCTTGTGTCAGAAAACTAATAATCAGATATCTTGTATGCTAATTTCAGCATGACAGAGCCACAGCCAGCTTACTCTGCATTCCGCGAGGCTAGTTTTGGACATGCCACTCTTGCTATCAAGGATAGAACTCATGCTTATTATAGTTGGCACCGTAATCAGGACGGATATGCTGTGGAAGCTGATAAGATATGGGTTAACAATCGTATTTGGAATCCAGTTGATGAGTCCATGGTAACCAAAACATGATGATATACAAGAGATTTTCTTCTTTCATTTTCCTCGTCAGCATTGAGTAATTGATGCCTTGGCCTGTAACGAATAAATTTCGTCATTTCAGGCTCTTGCTGTTTCATAATGTGTACAATGTCCATCCTGGGATGTGGCAGAAGAGGCCTTGTGAGGAAAATAAAATAATGTCGTAAAAGAAAATTGAAGGATATATATTTATTCAAAGTTACTTCTCCAAACATGAATATGGTTGAGGTTGTCAAATTTGAGTTGCAAACGTGATTCTAAGCCTTGCAAATGTGTTTCCAAAGAGACACGTAGAGGCATTGCAAGCTATTGTGTCTATAATTTCCATACGTAGCTAGTCACATAAAGTACGTTTAACAAAAAATATCCTTGTAAGGTATAAAAGGAAACATCAGAGTACCAAGTGGCGAAACAATTCATTCTTGCATAAAATCCAAATAGTACTTTCGTTATATACAATGTAACTTATTATTTCCTCTTTACAATGCTAATTCTAAAGGTACTTATTGTCAACCAGTAGTTCAAAGATGTCGAAACAAAAACCACACTTGTTTATTGTCTTCTCAAGATCTCAACTTGTGACTTTTCGTCAACTCAAAAGTCCAAAGAAAAGGTCGAAAGGAAAATCAAATTTCATTGCTAGATTCATCGCGAAACTCCGACAGGACAAGAAAATTGGCATTTGAATTCGATTTTAAGTTGTGTTCGTTTAGACTTGATTTTGGAAGAAGTAGTTTTGAAAAGTAATCATATTTAAAAGCTATTTTTGAAGTTCTTAATCCTCGTAAATGGTTTTATATCATTATATGATTGAAATTTAAGGAAATGAAATTGAAGAAGAAAAGAAAGTAAAGGATGGAGACGCAATTTTAGGAAAAAAGTATCTTCGAAACCAACCCTTTGTCTTTTGTCTTACAGCTCCCCACATGTTATTGCAATTTTGAACCTATGCAATAGTTATGCAAGTATTAGTTATACACTCTATTTGGTATTATTCTATGCATAACTAATACATAAGAAACCATAGTACTAATAATGCAATGAGTTTTAATGCATGCATTAGCTTAGTTAAAGATAAAATTGTCCTTCAAAATTTATGTTTGATTAAAAATGTTGTTATATTAATGCAAGTTTCAAATAATCCAAGAAAGTGAGAAATAAAATTATATGCCTAGTGTAAATATAAATACTTAGAATATTTTTTTATAAATAAATATTCAGTTCTATACTACAATGTAGGTAGACAAATCAAATAATTATTTTTAAACCTTTTTCATATAAAAACATTCCTCAACATATGTTTCTTTTAAAAAGATAAAGTGATGGACTGGTTATGAGGTATTTTTGTAAATAAATAATTCTTTTAGAAATTGTGCAATTCTTTAATACATCAAACCAAACATGGGATAAAAAATATGCCAGCATAACTAATGTCAGCATTACTAATACACTCTACTCATCATTATTCTTATATACTCTATCAAACGAACCCTTATTCTAATTCAACCCTCATACTTTGTACATGCGCGAGTTGATAAAAGATTGAGACATTTGAATACCTCAGGGGCGTAAATGAGATTTTGGGACAAGTAAAAGGGCTTATTCGCAATAGTTTTTGGAAGGCAACAAAGAACCGAAATATTGTAGGAAGAATGTGGCAAGAACATAAACATAAGGGTACTTTACGTCTAACAATTTTATAAATTTGGGGAGAAAGTGGTAATAACAAAAAGAGAAGGGAGTTGTTCGTTACAAACTCAAAAATATATAAGATGCACCGTCACCAAAAAATGGCGCAGTTGACGGACACTGGTAATTGCACATGCGAAACGAGATCCTCGATTCACCATTTCACCTCATCAGTCTTCACAATTCACATTATCACAATTCACAACTCCATTTTCATCCATTACCTGATTTTTTTTTTCAAAAACGCTTCCTCCACGATCTGATTGCCGGAGGAGGCGATATTATTTTTTTGGATGAAGAAGAGTTCACCTGAATTTCCCCGAAATGGCGGAACCAACAATTTCGAAGAGCTCGCCTGAAGATCATGATAATGAGCTGAAGGAGAATATTGAGAAGAAAAAGGACTCAACTGCAAATCCTGAGTTCTTCAGTTGTATGCTTCAGCCATCTCCTGCCAATTCGGATCCTAATTACATTGCAATTCGCCGTTTCCTTCTTCATCGCAAAGCCGAATCCGGTGTACTTCGCCGCAAGGTGCGGTTATTTCTCGCCTTTTCACTAATACATGATTATATTTAACTGCAACATCGCTGTGAGCATGATCTGATTTCACTACAAATGTATACATACTTATTGTACGTATTTATATTTTATGCGCATATTTGCTTCTTTTTTTGTATTCAGAAAAAAATATTACGTATTTCTCATTGCTTCTATACATTTATATTCAGTTTATCATAGTTCAAATTACTTTTTATGGTTTAGGTGTAAAACGAGATGCAATTTCATTGAACACTTGGATAGTAGGATCTATGTATTTGTTGCAATTAGTTAAGAAGTACCCTGATTGGACTTTAATGCTTGTTGAAGGACTGGAGATGCAATGGAAAAGGATACGTGGCTTATCGAAATTATATTAGTAGGCCAAGGAATTGGGAGAACTTGCAAATACCAAGCCGCTCGAGCACCCCAGGGAACAGGTGGTTGAGATCTATCTTCATTTCCTCTAGTAGGTTGCAATCTCAAGTGCTTAGGGCGCATGATTACGACTCATATTTGGTTGTTTACTTAATACTTATCATATTTTGTGTAAATTTCATTTGTTGTGTTAAATGACTAAGAATACTGTTGAGAGGTTGAGTTTCGGAAACTTAAGCTTGCTGACTTAAATGTCCGCTGCTTTGAGAACTCCACAGATCTGTATTTTGGACGCCTTTTCAACAATACTTAGCAAGCAGTGGCTTTTGAAACTAGAAATAGTAAGAAACATCATCTGAAGCTTCAAGTGGAATAATACCATCACATGAAGCCTAGAGTTTCACTTGAATTCCATGTAGAGGTACCTGGACAGATTGGAAGGGGAACCTTGGTGCAACGGTAAAGTTGTCTCCGTGTGACCAATAGGTCACGGCTTCAAGCCGTGTAAGCAGCCACTATTGCTTGCTTTAGAGTTTAGAGTAGTCTGTCTACATCACACCCCTTGGGATGTGGCCCTTCTCCCGACCTTGCGTGAACGCGGAATGTTTTGTGCACTGGGCTGCGCTTTTATACCTGTACAGATTAGCAAAATTTGGGAAAAGTTTCGAATTCATAGTCTTTACGTACACAGGCTATACTTCAATTCAGCTGTCTCTAGAAAACCGATAAAATATCATGTTTGCCTTATACCAGGGCTTGCGCAGAAGTCTGACGATAATATGATGACTGTTGCTTCTTAATCTGGAACTGTCAGACTATGAATTTATCACTGTACAGGAGGGGACCAAGAATGTGTTTTTTATTTGCTTGAAGTACTGGTTATTAATAAATTCTCAGCTCTTTAGGCACTATAGAGCATGAGATGCTGGGAGAATAATCCTTTTTATATGCCTATTATTTTTTTATATGCCCATTATTGATTGTGGAGGGACGCAACATGATTTATTTATCTTTTGTCGCATGTACCTTCTACTTCTTTTGAGTTGTTTTGACATCATGGAACTTTGGGGAATGTAAAGCTTTACCAACATGAAGCATTTTTTTTTTTTATGTCATTTGTTGAAGTTCGTACTGCATACAATCTGACATCAGGATAATTTACTGGTTGATGCATCAGTGGGCGATGGATGCCTTCACCAAGTCCAGTTTCCCAGTTGCTTGAGTCGGATAGCTGGAATTCTTTCAAGGTATGTGCAGCTTTTGGTTGTCTATGACTAATCTTTTTTCATACTTTTTACTTTAGCCTATGCATGCAGCTATTTATGAGGAATATTTGACTATCCATGACATGTCATCGAACTAGTGTCGCCCTATGAATTAAGTTTGAAGGGTTGATGCTAAGGTTAGTGCCAAATGAATTGGTCGAGTCTAGGTCCACACCATCCAGATGCGAAGTGATCTTGGCGTGTGACTCAACTAGAAGATCGGAAGAGTTTCTTTCTGGACATTATAGTTGCATGACAAATGAGAATTCTCTTAGCACACCTTTCACCACCTCATGTTTATGCAGGATTTACGGAGTCCCAGTCAAGCAAGTCAAGCATTGAGCCGGACTACTAGTTACAGTTCAAATGCGAGTGATACTGATGATCGGCCACGTAGAAGGTCGGAACCTGCATATTCCTTTGTTGGGATGCATTGCATTTTTGACCAATGCAAGGCCATGGGTAATTATTTTGCAAAGCAGAATCAGTCGGCCTCTTTCTTCATCAAGCTTTATTATTAACTTAACTAATCTAATTTTTTAGTTACGGTTATAAAGTTTGGGCATATGAGTTCTGATCTACTTGCATATGGAGCATCAGATGGCAGTTTGACAGTGTGCAATGTCTCCATGCCCCCTTCAGTCATTAAGCAGTTAATAGGGCATTCAAAAGATGTCACAGGTTGGATTAACTGGTATTGATTCTGCAGTCTTGTCTTTAACTTCTTATTCATATATCGGAATTGTTTGACTTGTACTTTTCCTTTGTTAAATGTGTTAGAAATAGTGGCTTAAATTTGTAGCCATAGTCTTATTTAAGTCGCAATCAGCGTGAGATGTCAATGTTGTCAAATGCAAAAAGTGTAGAAAAGCACCAAAATCTAACGGTGTTTTAAACTGAAAGCTCAATTCAGGTCTTTAGTGAAAGAAGTGCTGAAGAACTAATATTAAAAATAAATAAAGATCTATAAACACAAAATTTTATGGGTAGGAGAATTTTAAAAAATGTAACTGGTGAAGTATTGGTATCAAACCATGTGGAAGAATTCAAAAACTCTCATAGATCTTTGATTAGATGCAAATGTTAAGTTACTAATTCAGTATAGTGCCTATGTTTTCATAATTGAAATCTCTAATTTCCTATTTTTAATCCATAACTTACCCATTCAGTATGTTTCCGTATGAGTACTAATCATTTTGATGGGTGTATTTATTGTTTAGTTCTATCTTACAAGATAGAGTCATGAGTTCCTGAAATCAACTAAAGTTTTCCAATGATTCTTGGTTTGCTAGTTTTTGCTAAGGTGCACGTCCTTCACCATCGTTGAAGCACCACCTAAGCAATGCGAAGCTTAGCGCTGCTCTGCTTCACACTTCAAGTCTCAATCACACCTTTGACACTATTCATTGTCCATGATTGTCATTGGAGTAGTTTCTTCTTTTCCCTACAAGAGTTAGGGGTATGGGAATGGAGAAATGAGTCTTCCAGTATTGGTTGTATTAAGTTGGTAGAAGCATAGACAAGATTTAACACACAAAAAACGTTAGTAAAAGTTCTGAACATTAACCAAGTCCAGAATCCTCAGTTGACTTTTGCAATGTCCAAATGGAAATGGTTTAGTAGACCTTATGTCTTCTGTCCTTGTGATTTTTTTCCTCCCATTCAACTGATTAGCATTTGATTCAAAACCTTGAAACCTTGAAACGAGGACACTGTGAGTCATGGGAGTTGTTTAATACCTATCCTTCCCAATATGAGTGGGAGCATTTGACTGGATATGGACACAGAGTTTAAGGAAGAAAAGAAGGCTTTTGACACAAAATAAATTTGTAGAAAATACCAAAGTATGCTTAATACCAAAATGGAGAGAGTAGCTCTTTTACTCACGGGAAGGTGTTAGCACCTGCAGTAGTTGTTTCTATACCACTGTGATCTTTAATAGCATGGTCTCTTTTGCGATGCCTTTGTCCGACTTTTCAAGGTCAACCTAGTACTTTCAAGAACAGGTTATTCTATTTTTTTTTTGTTTCCATCATTTTTCTTTAGTTTTTTGTTAAAATCATTTTTAAAATTTCTTCTTTTATTGGTTGAAAGTTAAAAGCATGAAATTGTCCCTCAATCATTTTGAATTCTTATCCATTTTGGATGGTATTATTGATGTTTTGGCGTTAGCACTGCTGATTCTGCTCCTATTGGTATTGTGGTGGCGAATATCAGAGTTTTGCCTTATTTATTTTATTGTATTCTTTATAAGGTGGAGTATTGCTTTATGTAGGAGCCAAAGCCCAATGAACCCAATCACCAAATATATGGAGAATGAAAACATGTTGAGGCTGTTTTAGTTCCTGTCCCAATTTACTGATGGTCTAAACTGAGTATCCAGAAAGCCAAAAACCACACTATTGTTCTCTTATGGAGTTTTACTATTAACGTGGTTAACATGCCTTTTGGTGACTCTAATTGCAAGTTTGTTCCTCAGTCAAGGGCGATGTAATGCTAGCTAAGCTTTATATGTGTTTACCATGTTACTGTTATCATTTTCAAATCTGTCCTTTTCCAGATTTTGACTTTTCAACAAACAATCAGTACATTGCATCGTCTTCAATGGATAAAACTGTCAGAGTATGGGATATTTCTAGAGGACTTTGCATTAGGGTGATATATGGAGTCTCTTCACAGCTTTGCATTCGATTTCATCCTGTAAGTGGACAAAGATGTACTTTTTGATTTTGGTAAACATTTTCTGCAACCACCAGAGTAGACTTTCCTGAATGACATTCTTGATAGGTTTTCGAAAGACATGCTTGCATGCAAATTTCTTGTGTTATTGTGGATGAGTGTTTGCATGCGTGTCCACCTCAGTTCGTGCTTGGCAGTAACACTAGACCATCTACGTCTTTCTTGACTCCATGTGCTTTTCAGCTTTTTTCTTTTTCTATTATATTTTGCAATTGTTATTCCATCAGTAGACTGTATGACTTGTTGCATCAAAGCACCTTTAAAAATTTCTTTTTTTTATTCAGCTGGCTTGGCATTTATATGCATTTAAACAACTGACTAAAATTGATTCTTTCTCTGTTGCTTTTTCTCTTCTTTTACAGGTGAACAATAACTTTCTTTCTGCTGGCAATGCAAAGAAAGAAATAAATGTAATTATCCTTTCTGTTTTGCTGAACGCATATTAATTGTTTAGATTTTACTCTATAGATTACTGTACTTCTCCTTGTTAGATTTATTTGCTTTAATTAAGGGAATACTTCTTCATGCTTGCACGATAAATATTTTATTATAAGGAAAAACTAATAGCTAAGGGCGCACGATAAACATTTATCTAACTTCCAAAGAAAGAGAATAGAGCAACGAAAGGAGGAAAGGATATTTCATGTGCACAGCAATCATCATGATTAGATGATTAGACAGAGATTACGTTTCTGAAACACAATGCATTAAGATACAATTGTTTTTCATCCCCGAGGTGTTGGCTGAGTTGTTGAGGCATAGAAGTAATAATCTGGAGATCTTAGGTTCGAGTCCATCACAGCAGTGCCCAAGCCATGCTGTGCAGGTTGATCTGGCATTTGTGCTTGTGGGCTCCAGTGGTTAAGGTGGACGCAAGCTGACGAGGACACCACTGTCTAAAATGAAGATACAATAGTTTTTTCATGAAGAAGCACAAAACAAGCAGTTTACATCGAACTGAAAGTGAACAGATGAAACCTGCTGATTATTAAGAGTCAGATGAAATGTGGCAGTCATTGACTTGATTCCTCACTGGAGTATCATAAGTTGTTAAACAGTTTCTGAGAAGCACATAAATGACATGGTGGTTTACACAATGAAGCAAAGATTGACCATAAGCTTGTATTTTATGAACCAAGAAAACGTACAATTTTATTCAGGCTGACATTCTAACCTACTAAAGTATTTCTTTTGCTTCTAAATTAGGATTTGGATATTGTGTGCTTGAAAAGTAGGTTACTTCATACTTACACCCCTGAAGAAACCGTGTCAGTGGACTCATACGCATGTTCAATTATTCCTGTATATATTTGTTTCGCCAAATAGAATATGTCACAGCCTTCATGTTAGCAGACTCATACACATGTTCAATTATCCCTGTATATTTTTTTTTTTGGCCATATAGAATACGTCACAGCCTTCATTTCACTCTTTATTTTCTCACTCATCAAGCACTAAACCTTTAAACTAACATTCAGGTGTTCAATTTTAGCACTGGGAGAACAGTGAATAAAATTGTCGTCGATGGTGAAGTCACTGCCATGGACCATGACCACACTGGTCAGCTTATTTTCTGCGGTGATGGTCAGGTTGCCTGCTTTGTGCCTATTCTTCTTTCATTACAGTTTCTGGTCCTCTCTGTACCAAGGCTTACTATTTTCAGCTTCATTATCTACAGGGATCTATTTACACAGTTAGTATGAACTCCCATACAGGTGTGCTATCTCGAACTCATCGGAATAGAAGTAGCAGCAAGCATAGATCTGCTGTTACAACTGTTCAGTACAGGACATTTTCTCTGCTGGCACGAGGCCCTGTCTTGCTGGCTTTTACTCGGGACGGAAGTTTGTCTTTTTTCAGGTCAAACTGAAATATTTTTGTCTCTTGTTTTGGTTTATCTTTCTTCTGAAATTTTTTCTCAAGTCACATTGAAGTGTATTATGGGCTTGCAGCGTCTCTTTGGAGATGAAAGGTTATTTGACACTTAGGTGCTCACTGAAACTGGCTCCACGGCTACACAGCATTCGTGCTTCTTTCTGTCCTTTACTTTCCCTTGAAAAGGGAGAGTACATAGGTATGTATCGGATTTGTTAATAAAGAACTTTAATCTCTTTAAAAGCTGCCTCCAATTTGTAAACCTCTTTCCTTTTTTTTTTCCTCTTGAGGTCCTAACACTGTAGTCTGTTTGGCTAGCCAATTTGGAAAGTCGTCTTCTGGTGGAGAGATTTGTTTTGGTACAAATCCCTAGTTTTGTTGACTTTGATTTCCAATCTTTCAACTTCTAATTTAGTTTACCATGAAGAAGATACTCAAAATAAAGAAGAAAATAGCAAGAGGAGTTTACAATAAGAGGAAAAGAAATTCTTAGGTACCCAGCTTATTTAAGAATTCTCAAGCAGATAATATACAAGAAGTCCTTCACAAGGTAGGAGTAAGGTCTGCGTACACTCTAACCCCCCCC